TGACTCAACTTAAGTTTATATTTTTGACTTAAATCAATAAACAAAGAAATCCCATATGATGCGTACTTTATTTGTGACACTTTACAAACTCTACGTCTATGATAAAGTAGATATTACAAAAAAAAGGTTCCTAATATTCACGGTAGTTAAACAGAGGGTTTAGAATTACATTCCCACTGGTAAACCGGTTAATGAGAAAAAACGGACGGCGCGCTATTGTAATAAAGTTTCTGAACCCTTAAAGGTTTTTTAAAGGCCATAACGATATTAAAATCGTTGGAATACCTTCCCCTTTTATATCAAATAGCCACCATAACCCGAGGATCAAGCATCCCGTATGAAATAGTGACAGTAAACTTTTATAATCCAATCAATTTTTATGCCTTTCGCTCACCTGAAGGGTTCCTTTTCATAAGCTCTTAAATGGGAAGGTTTGGTTAAATTTTATGCGAATGCGAAGAAGATCATATAGGTATAAAAAATGTTATTGAGTAAGTACAACTAACTATTGACTATAAGAGGATAAAGTTTTTTTTTTCTCTCATAGTATATTATATTAATATACAGGGTGGTCCGAACTGTATTCCGGAAACTTCGGCAGAATATTCTGCAGATAAAAATAAGTGAACAAGTTCGCATAAATGTATGTCCTAAAATGCTTAGTTTCGGATATACAGGGTCTAGAAGTTCCATTTTTATTTCCATTTTTTTCAAATAATTTATAAAGTAACGTCAATATTTGGATGAAAATTGGTGTCTGGTAGTTTTTTAACATGCTAAATTTGATTTTAATGTCAATATGGCTCCTATTTGTAGGGGGCACCACCTACATGTGTTTTAACTGTTTTGAAGAGTAATACATTTTCGTCCGTACTTGTATAAAACTACTGAGGAAAAATTATATATTTCCGTGATTTTTTACGTAAACAGAGTCTCTTAGTAAATATCGTTACGGGCAACCGTTCTCAAGATATTTAGACTGAAATATTCAATACATGTCATTATTGACAAAAAATAAACACACGTTTAGTAGATAATTATTTGGTTTGGTTTGGTTTGGTTTGGTTTTGACTGAGAAATAATAAATTTAGGAAGTTTTTATTTTTTAAATTACTCATAATTTTTTCTGCGAAAAAATGATGATAAAACAATTTCTGTTAAACTTTTGGCACAAGAACATTTCAAATTTATGATTTCAGTCTAATAACTACTTAGTCAACATGTTTAATTTTTGTCGATGATAGATATTGATATTTTCCATTCCAAATATGTCGAGATCCGTTACTCGTAGTGATTTTTTCCAAGATACCTTTTTTACGTAAAAAACGTCGAAAATGTATATTTTTTTTACTCCGTAGATTTATACAGATACGGACAAAAAGATATTACTCTTTAAACTAGTAAAAAAAATTGTAAGTGGCGCTCTCTATAAGGAGGAGTCATATTGACATCAAAATCAAATTTCCCATGTCAAAAAACTCCCAGACACCAATTTTCATCCAAATATTGACGTTACTTCATAAATTATTTAGAAAAAATCGAAATAAAAATGAAACTTCTACACCCTATATCTCCAAAACTAAGCATTTTAGGACATACATTCTGCAAAATACGCTGCCGAAGTTTCCGGAATACAGTTCGGACCACCCTGTATATAAGCGCACCCGCGCTCAGCAGTTAGTTCATTTTTGAAATCCTCCAAGATGCAGAGGCGCAAAGTATTAAAACTGTCAATATCAACAATGCAAATGTCAATATCTGACAATAATAAAATTCGTTTTTTAACTGACACGAGACACTCAGACACGCTTTTGTTGTGATTTTACGGTTTGATTTCGTTTTGATTTGTCGAATTATTGTAATTTCTTCAGATTTTTTGGCAGTATTTTGTTTTAGACAATGTTTTTTAAAAATGGTGAGACAGTTTGTGTTTTGTATAGACTGTTAGTTATTTTTTATCATGGAGCATGGAGTTTAATTGTTGTACACCGGGTTTCCGAAGGATACAATGGTAAGTAAATTAAATATATCTACTTACAGTTATAGATTTTTTAAATTAGTACTGCTAATAAATTCTACTTGCTGAGCAGTTATTTAATTTTTTACGGTGCATGTAAGGAATTAAGGATGCGCGTTGCGTTATAGCATGATCAGCAGATGGTTTGGTTTGGTTTGGTTAAATCTAATTTAATTTGTTTTTATTATTTCAGGTCTCAAACGGAAACAAACTGGGAATCTTGCCTACACCAAAATTATATAGCCGTTTCCAATTCACTTCAAAGGGAGGAAAATTATGTAAAACTGCCTGCTATTTGTTGAAAACCGCCAAAGATTAAATTATAAGTGTAACAACTTAATATACAGGGTCCGGCAATAGTGCGTCCGGCATCTGTAGCTCCTAGAATAAAAAACTTGAGAATTTTGTTTAAGTGCAAACCTAAAGTATGTACCAGGATGTATTTCAGGAAAATATTTTAACTTCTATAGGGTGGCTCTAAAAAGTGTGAGTGGACCTGGATGATTTTTTTTAATGGAACACTCTGTATATTATTGCATTTTTGGCTTTCTTTTAGATCACTTTACATAACCCTAAGATATGAATAAATAAATTTCGATAGTTTCAGAGATATTAAAAAATAAATAAAAAAATATATATTTTTCAGCCCTTCTTAAAAAAATTATTAAAAATACAAGAACTGTTCTGAAATCAAAACTATTTTAGGTATTTACTTTAGATGGTCTGTACTTACTTTACTATAAATAATGAAAATCGTAAATCATACAGGATGTTCAAAATTCAACGCCAAACTTTCTAAAATATAAAATAATTTTTCTTCTTTTTTTTAAATAGAACACCCTGTATAATATTTTTTTCAATAGACGGAGAATTAAAAATGAACATTTTTGTATTTAGAGTATTTCAAAATTTTTAACGGTTTCGCAGATATTTGCGGTTTATATTTCATATGGCATTTTCCACAATAAATTTTTATTAAAGCCACCCAATGATTTTTCTCTCGTATTTTACCATTGAAAGCGCCATATGAAATAATACTGCGTGTATCTGCGAAACCGTTAAAAATTTTGAAATACTCTAAATACAAAAAATGTTCATTTATTAACTCTCGATCTAATAAAAAAATAATATACAGGGTGTTCCATTTAAAAAAAAACAAAGAAAAAATATTTTATATTTTAGAAAGTCTGGCGTAGAATATTGAACATCCTGTATGATTTACGATTACCATATTTATAGTAAAGTAAGAACAGACCATCTAAAGTAAATACCTAATATAGTTTTGATTTCAGAACAATTCCTGTATTTTTAATAATTTTTTTAAAAAGGGCTGAAAAATATATATTTTTGATTTATTTTTTAATATCTCTAAAACTAATAGAAATATATTCATTCATATCTTAGTATTATGTAAAGTGATCTGAAAGGAAGCCAAAAATGCAATAATATATAGGGTGTTCCATTAAAAAAAATCATCCAGGTCCGCTCACACTTTTTTGAGCCACCCTATGGAAGTTAACATATTTTCCTGAGATACATCCTGGTACATACTTTAGATTTGCACTTAAACAAAATTCTCAAGTTTTTTATTCTAGGAGCTACAGATGCCCGACGCACTATTGCCGGACCCTGTATACTATTACTAGTCTTTTTAATATTTTTTTAATTAATATCCGACATATAAGAACACTTTGTATGCTTTTAATTAAGTTGATTTATCGTTTATAATATATTCTACCTAATTAAAAGCACACAAAGTGTTCTTACATGTATGACTAAAAATTTATTTTAAATTAACTAAAACAACCCCCCTTCCCCGCACCCCTCTCTTCCCTTAGTATTTCTTCCTCCGACTACCAGAGGCGCCCTTGTATAGTAAAATTGAAATGTATTATAAGTTGCCTATCTATTTAATATTATAAGTCTTATCTATGGTTATGACAAAGTCACGATTTCAACATTAGACACAATTAGACAGTTAAAGCACGGCCAAAGACGTAGACGTAAACGTATCGTTTGACATGTACGCTTGTGCAGTGAGAAATTCACTTGCGTTTACGGATACGTGATACGTATCGTTACGTACCTTTACATACGTACAAAACGCAAACGTATCGAGCCGAAGGAGTTTCGATTTTCACCCGAATGATGCCGAACGTACAAATTCACAAACAACTTGTTTCCACAACTGGCTAGTAATTAAGTTATTTCATAAATTTTGGGGTCAGTGTAACAGAACTGGGCATATTTTATTACAATAAATTAGTATGAAAATATTAAGCATCATAATAAACTCATTTCGTAATCTATTTAATTAAATGCTAGATCTTAGCCAAAATCCACATGAGTATTCTAAAAGATGGAATCTAATAAATAATCATAAAACTGTGTCTGTTTTCCAATATTTTTTATTACTAAGAGCATTTTAAGTTGTAAGGACTACTTTCTGTAATAATTTCCATTTATAATTATCTTTATTTTTCGAACTTTTATAAATTTAATGTGGAATCAATGGAATAATAAATATCCATTTTCAGTTTTAAAATTAAATAAATTGTTTCACCAAATAATTGAGAATTGCAAATGTATCATTTGCGTTACGTACGTCAAAATACTTGCTTTAACTCTTGTTTACACGACAACGCAACGGCAGACGTAACGTAGGTTTCTGCGTTACGTGTCGAGAGATACGTATACGCATTGTGCCTTGCTTTAACTGTCTATTATTTCAATGTGATCAACATGGTCACCGGGACGGAGTGAGATACATAGCAAAAATTTCTGATTTCTGCCGTACCTATACAGCGTTGCGGTCGGAATTTTTTGAAATCAACTGAAATACACCAAACCTATAAACGAATAAATGGATTGGTATGAACGTCATCTGCTCTTTTTCTGTCATCGTCTGTCGAAATGTTCCTTGAGTAAAACAGAGTGTAAGTGCCTATACATTCATTCAGAGAATTACAATAAAACACATGAAGAAAAACTAATTATCTTTAAGTTATATTACTAAAATATATACAAATTAGATGAGTATATTTTTAAAGTTTTTTTTTGTAAAATTTAAGTAAATTAACTGTGAGGAAACATAGTTTTGTTCAGAGATTGTAAGAATTCCATTTTGATTTGCATTTTTTGCTGGGGCGTCAGTTTCCTAAAAGACGGCAACAACGACAGCAGAAAGAATTTATCTTCGTCAATATCGTCGGCTCCTTGATCGATAAAAACTTGAGGCATGACATCGTCAAAATTATTTTCTTCTTTTACATCGACATAGTTGTTAAACTCTGTTCCTGATACGTTGTATTCTTCATTAGATGCTCCAACTGAATGTTCGGTTAATTCAATTTTATGTTCCTCTGTGTCTTCGGTTTTGCCATCGTCTGAGGGTGTTTGACTGACGGTTTTATTATTAATAAAAGGCAACATAAAATTTAACTGATCGGAGTAAAGGTATTTGCGTTTCTTCTTAATTATGCCCTCTTTGCTCAGTTTCTGCTTCTTAATTTCTCGTCGATAGCTGTCTTTCAAATTTTTCCATTTTTGTTGAACGCCTTCCACTGAAAAAGAAAATTTATTATGAATGGAAGGAAATATAATGTGCTGAAAAAGTTCTAGGAAAAGCTTGCTTGGTGTGATGACAAAAAAAAAACGAATTGCAGACAATCAATAAAATTTTACAAAAGGGAAATTGTAAATGGATATAATCATGTAAGAGTTATAAAATATTAAAAACTATTAAATACTAGACCTTTAACCAGTGTGTGAGATGATCAAAATTTTAAAATTCAAAATTGTTCATGATTAAACATCAACAAAAAAGTCGTTACTCTCCAGTAGGTAAGTATGATTTCAGAGCTTTGCGAAATGCGGGAAAGAATGAAAGTGACTTGATATTCAAAGGCAGATGATTGTACATTTTTTTGGCATTGTACAGAATTGAACCTTTAACTAGTTCTGAGTTCGGGGTTGGCAGATAAAGATCGTGCTCCGCATTCCTAAGTGGATAGTTGTGAGTTGGCCTCTCGGGAATAGCAGATATGTGCTTGCGGATTAAGCAAACGGATTCAAAAATGAATAAGGAAGGAAGAGTCAGTATTTTGAAGTTTTTAAAGAAATTCTGGCAGTGAGTTCTAATGTTCAGTCCCAAAAAATATCGAACTGCTCTCTTTTGAAGTTTGAAAATACGATCAAATTTTGTCGCGCAGCAAGTACCCCAGAATGAAAGGGCATAACGAAGATGCGACTCAAAAAGGGCATAATAGACCATTCTAGAGGTTGATGAGTTAAAGAAGAAACTGATTGCTTCCTTAGAAACTGATCTTAGCGCAAAACAGGCAGCGCTTAGTTTCTTTGATAAAGCTTTGATGTACAAGTCCCATTTTAACGAGTTGTCTACAACAACGTGTCCACGACGTCAATAATGGTGTTATTAAGTAGAAAAGGTTGTATAGTACTATTATATGACAAAACTTAAGTTTTTGGAAAGGTTGAGGCATAGGAGATTAGAATCGCACCAAGATTTAATGGTGTAAGTAAGTCACTGGATATAGTATTATATAATGCCGTAACATCTGGGCCGCTCCAAGTAAAACTAGTATCGTCCGCAAAGAGGCAGATTTTACCGCTAATGTCTAGAACTGCAATGTCGTAGTACAGAAACAAAATAGGGCCAAGTACTGAACCCTGAGGGACCACATTCTATAGGCTTACAAGAAGACATCAAGATGTATCAATCCTCACAAGCCGCCTTCTGTTGCCAAGATATGACTTAAGCTATTCTAGCGGCACTTCCCTGAATCCGTAGTATTTGCGATAATTAAGATATTATGATTTAACAGTCGAAAGCCTTAGGGAAATGACAGAAAATTGTAGATGTAGAGTGATGGCTATTCAGGCTAGAATATACATTATTAAAAAGGTCGAACATAGCAACATTTGTGCAACTGTTACTTAGAAATCCAAATTGATGGGTAGTAAGTACTTTATATTTAAGGAGAAAAGATAGAAGCTTTTTTTTAACCAATGCAAGACAAAGACTCCCGTGATCTTCGTCTTGTTCTTGTAATCTAATAAGAACTCCATGTCTTTGTACTTGCAGGGTCCTGTCTTGGTTTTGGTTTGGCTGCAAGACTATTGCTGCACGAGATCAGGGAATATCTGGGTGAACTGGGAGCTCAGGCAGAAAAGAGCAGACTTAAATTATCCCGGGTGCTGGACACAGCGGCAGCCAAGGCAACAAAAAAGGCCGTAAAATTATGGATCAGGGAAAACCAGAATGTCCACTGGATAAATACAGACAGAGGCACGGGCCCAGCAAGGCCTTTATTCAAGGACCTAATTTTAAATCCACAAAGGAACTGCTAATGCTTAGCAGGAATTAAGTGCAGGTTATAACAGGTATCTTAACAGGACATATGGCTGTCAAGTGCTACCTGAAGAAGCTCAACCCCTATCAAGGAAGTCTTTGCTGCAGACTCTGCGATAAAGATCCTGAAACAACGGACAGCATAATATGTCACTTGCTTTGGATCGCAAGCGACACTTTTTATTTGTGTGGCTGTACCGGAGGAACTATGACCCTATCCTATCAAGCACCTGCACAAAGTGGTACTGTAGGCTGTGATACAGGAATAGGAGAGTAGGTGCAGACTTAGAAAGGGGACAAGCACAGTAAGCCCTACAGGTCGCCGTATTTCCGGCACAGAAGGCCCCTTTTTATAAAAAAAGACTCCTGCAGGTCTTGCACGGATTTTTACCAGAGGCACAGTCTACGTAGAAAATGTTTAAATAATATTTGAAATAATTTAATGCATGAAACTTTAAAAAAATTAAAAATATTTGTCTAATAAAATTTTTATTTTTCAGTATCGAATCAGCATAGCTCCCTTTAAATTGTTATGCAAGAGTCATGAAAACAGTTTGGTTTGGTTTGGTTTGGTAAACCATAAACTTTGGTACGACGGATATCGGACATGGAGAACTAACCTATGTAAAACCGTCCCAGATACTGGCCTTTATCAAAGCCCTGAGACTGTATTTATAATACAAGAATGGGGGACACAATAAGATATTGATGTATAAATGCAATATTCTGGTTAGGTGACAAGTGAGAAGGATTATTTAAGCGTGTGTGGTGTACACATAAAATACCACGAACAAATCTGCATCAAGCAGATTTCAGATGTATTTATTTTAGATGTGTTTATATGTAGATTATTTCAATCTGCATCTACATCTAGAAAATAAACACAATTACACTAAAACTACAAAATATAATATACTAAGGGTTGGCAAAAGTTAGTCTTGGGTCGAGATTTCCGTATGTAAGAAGAGTACCATGCGTTAAAGCTGGATTTATAAACTCGGAAGTTGGCGTTCAGTTGAGGTTCAGTTGCAGTTGGATGTTCGCGGCAGTTGAGGTTCAATATTTTTGCATTTATAAACTGTCAGTTTCGATTGTAGGTTAGGTTTGGAATTGTGAAAATTTTGAACGTTTTTCTTTCGATTTAAAAATACTTTTGGTATTTGTCAAAGTTCAAACACAGTAATCCACGATTACGCAAAATATAAACATTACATTAACAGAAATAATGAAACAACAATAAGGGTCATTTTCCAATGCATCGGCGTACTGTGCTTCACGGGATCGACAGGCGCTTATTCATTGGCTGTCGCCGAACGTCGCCAGCGGTCGCCAACTGCCCGCAACTGCCGACATAAACATTGACCATCTTTGAACTCCGCTGAACGTAAAACGAACTGCCAACTTCTCGACCAACTGACTTTATAAATGCGCGCGTTCATTTCATAGTGTTGAACATTTTGAACGGCAACTGAACCTCAACTGAACCTCAACTCCCGAGTTTATAAATCCAGCTTAATAATGTACTAAACAATGAGAGAACAGTAAAAATGTTGCCAAACGTATGAAATAAACCGAGAAACTGTGCATATTTCTAAGAGATGTGGAAGGGAATACCTATAGCAAATTCGTCGCGGTCGACCGGTCGAACCCATGGTACAAAGAATACAAGGTATGATATTGCGCAGGTTGGTCGCTACGTCACAGGTGATAACTGGCGCTAATGGTCAGCACTCTCCGCGCGCCAGTTCAAATCGTCAAGATATTGTTATAAACCTGTTTTTTTGTTTATATACCGTCATTGAATTATCGCTAAGCAAGTTACTGTGGAGCAGTGCGTAAGGAGTCGGGCTAGGAAGCGAGAGACCTGAGTTCGAATCTCGGCCGGGACATAACTTTTTATTTATTTTTTAAATACTGTTGTATTCTATAGTTTATTTTTGTAGTATAAAAAAAAGAACTATTTATTCTGTTATTTTTTAATCTCCGGTATTAATATAAATTGATTGTTGGTACAACACCTCATTTAATATAAAATAATATTCTACTTTTTGAAATGTATCGGGCACTAATTGTACCTAAAAGTAATATATTTTTAGTGATATACCATATTGTAAACTATTTAATATTTCAGTCACTTAAAAAGTTAATTTGCATTGAATAATTGCCTACCATTAAAGGAAATTTGAGCTATATAATCCTTGATGGTCAATTCTGGGTATGCAAATACTTCCTCTAAATTTTGGGTTTCGTTCAACCGATTTATTCTCAAAACCTGAAACATCTACATATAAAAAGAAGCACAGGTCACTAATTATAATAGACTTCACCCTTGGAATTACTTCTATCACAATTACAATACATTCATCTGCATTGGCATTTTCTACTTTTCGATGGGAAACTTCAACTTCCCAACATTTTTTAAATGATGTAACAATTCCTCTTGTGGTTACTTTTCCATAGATATCCTCATCTCTGTCCTCATGTGAATTCAGAGGCAATGAACATGAAAATTATTTACCATAAACATCGCAAACTAAAAACCTAATAAACAATTTTATACCGAATATAGAAATAAATTTAGTATTCTTACCTATTATTATCGTCCAAATCCATGTTAATAGATAATTATTTTTAAATATATTTTTGGAACTGCTGGTTTTGTAATTATTAAATTAAACGAACTAAAAAGTCTTAAAAATAAACAATTCTTAACCATAACCCCAAAAAATACAGATCTCCTGTCAACTTTCTTTATTTTTTATTTATTCATTATTTTCCTAGTGACGTCACAGGTGGTATGCGCGAACTGAACGAAATTGGAGCCGCTATCGATCATACCTTGTATTCTTTGTACCATGGGTCGACCCAATCAGTACCATATCAGTATTTAAAATTCTAGGGAAGAGTATGTTACCTTATGGCGTTCAGCTTCACGTTTTAATTACGTCTCGTGATACTTTATTTGTTTATTTATTAGCCCAATCGTTTTTCCCTATAGCTTGTAAATTTTTAAGTGCAAGTTAGAAGCACTTGCACTTTTGGTAGAAACAAGTGGAATTGAATTGGTGTCCGACAGTGGTCGCGCAATTAGAACTCCGAATTCAAAAATCGAGATCTCCAAAAACTTTCTTAATACTTCTGCTATATTTTCTTCGCACACAGTATGTGTGTAAATCTTTATAAATAAAAAAGTTACACGATTGCTGAAAATTGCAATGCACTGAAAGTAAATCGAAGTTTCTATTTTAATTTTGAATGGAAAAAAAACAAGCCAATTGAATTTTTCTGATATAAACATATTGTAAAAGGTTCGAACTTGAAAATAAAAATAAAGAAGTTTAATATCTAATTTGGTTCTTGAGTTATCGCGTGTTATGTGTTAAAAGTTGAGTTTTTTTAAATTACCGCGATTATTGACGTTTTCTCGTTGTAAAAAAATGGACACCCTACCGATATTCTTATAATTCCATTTCAGATGTTTAGAAACATAGGTATCTAATGATTCTATCTAGTTATCTTTTCGAAAATAAAAGTCTTTTAAAAATAAGCGGTTTGTGATCGTGATCTTCATAGAGGAAGGCGTACCGGAGAAAGGTGGCAACGCCGCAACTGCACACCGTCGCATTTCTCTCACTCCGACTTAATAAGATCCCTATGCAACTTACATCTACACATGTAAATACCGATCCAAGAGTAAGAGTAAAATTATAATAAAACTACACAATAAACAAAAACTCAGAAATCTTACTTTTTGAACGTTTGGCTGACTTGCTCAGCTTGTCCCAATCCTCCACCACCTCTTGGCACACCTCCGCCCACAATTCTTTTCTCAGACTTCTGTTACAGTAATGAATCATATTGCTGTCGTACAATACAGGTCGTTTCCGTATTTCAGCAATAACTTTCTCGCTTTCGAGAGGTATAAACTCTGAAGACATTGTTGTATTAACGTTTTTAAATGCTGTAATAACCGTTTAATTTTGTAGAGAGATAAAGGGACGCGTAATGGCGTCACTGGCGTGTAAAAATCGCGTAGCGCGTTGCCTCGGCGTTGCTGTACGACTGGTTTTGGCCTTGGCTGGCCGGCGACGTTTAGGCCGCATCGACATAGAAGCGGCTGGTAGCGGTAGAAAATCGCTCGGGCGCGGCCGGTTGAAGTCGCCGCCGCGTGTTTCCCGAACAAAGGAAACGGTTAGCAACAGCTGCCCCTTGTATACAGGGTGGCGCCTCTCATACGCTGCGGTTGCGCTGCGGAAGCTCGAAGGAGAACGGGAGTTTATATCGAAATGAACTTTTGGCAGCATAGGTATGTAATTTAATTGTCTATCAAATTGTATTATGGCATTTTTTACCTATCTCTTCAAGTTTCCGTAGAAAATGCATTTTCTTGTAATTTAGAACTTTTTCATCAATATACTCATGGAATACTAACATTTTAGATTATTTTTAAAGATGTACCAAAGAGTACAGATACTAATATTGTCGATATAGTTCATTTATTTCGTTAAAAAATATTAAAAAAACTGTTTAAATATTTGTTAAAGAGGACCAGTTAATATGATTCCAGTATCCAAACTACATTAACTGACTATTTGCGTTGATTAATAATAATTGCTCCAAATGCTAAAAAACTGAATTTGGTATATGTATTACACAGTGTGGTAAAAAGAAACACCTTGGCAAAAGCTTATTTATAACAACAGAGACGTTCATTTTCCGCATTTATTTAGAATAATTTATTAACAAACAAAATTAAGTATCTAATTAATTAGTATTTGGGGGGAAATACCGTATGATCGAATAAAAACGGCGTCAGCGATGGCTATGAAATGAAGATCGCTGTCATTTTATATGTAAAATTATATGGGAAATGTCAGCGATTGTCATTTCCCAGCCACCTGGACGCCGTTTTTTTTCGATCATACGGTATAATGGTGGTATATTTAATTAATGGTATACGCTTTTATAAAGATTTAAATAGTTTTTTTTGCATATAAATGGCCTCGGAATGTTATCATTTTGCTAAAAACGATAATAGTACTAGCCTGTATATTTTGTACATTTGTTGCTTTAAAAACAATCTAAAATGTCAATATTCCATGGGTATATTGATAAATGAGGTCTAAATTATAATAAAATGCATTTTCTACGAAAACTTGAAGGGATAGGTAAAAAGTGGTATAATACAATTTGATAGATAATTAAATTGTGCATCTGATTCTCCTAAAATATACAGGGCGTTCCATTTAAATTAAACAAGTTATTGTCGTCTAAAGCTAGAAATAATTTAGAATAATTTTTTAGACGCTCTGTATAATGTAGTATTTTGTTTATTATTGTAACACAATATCTGATCAATAAATAAAAATCACTAAATATTTAGTATTAAAATCTTTGATACCCTTGGAGAAACGAAGCCTTAAAATTTTTACTAAAATTTGACAAAATTAAATATATTTCAAAAACTGTAAGGTTTAAGTGCGATAAACCTTAATCAAAATTGTCTTTATTTCAATCGTAGAATCTAAAAATATAATAATATACAGGGTGTTCTATTTAAAAAAATACAACTTTGATATTTTGAATAACTTATTTGGGACACTCTGTATCTTGTAAAAATATTTTTAAATTGTAGCTCTAATAGTCCTTCAACGAACCCAAAACTTACAATTTGTAAAAATCTAATCGTTTAGCTACAATACTCCGTGTCGTAGGTGGTGAACAACCCTGTATATTAGACGATATTAGCATCGATCGTCAGCCGTCTTTGACACCGTTTTTTTCTCGATCGTATCGTACTTACATGATGCATTAGCAAACACATGACTTATTTTTTTTAATCCATACACTGCAACAAAAAAGAACAAATTTAAACATTTCCCATTTTTCATTTCTCTTTTTTTTTTGCTTTCAGCATTGTTTAGAATGCAACTGGACACTTAAGGACATTGAAGAAAAACTAACCAGATGACCATTTGCAAGACTGCGTATATTTACTCGACTTGCATTAAATTACTTCCCTGTTTTAAATTTTCTAGGCGCCATGTATGATGAAGCAATCAGTCTGTCAACGTATTCAAGTGTTGTTTGTTGTTTATTGCTAGTGAAAATTCTTTGGCTAAGAACCTGCTGGTATTTGCCGTTTAGATTTTTCTGTTTCCAGTTCTCTTTATTTTTTTATTTGTCTTTATCTGGTGCCTTTATTGTCCGTTGGGATCTGGTTTGATTTTAACATACATAAAACAAACCTTGAAATTAGGACAGGCATTGAGTCTTATTTTATAAACTTCATTTAAAGTTATTTCCTGAACTTTCAATTAATTGAGGATTATACAGGGTGGTTCAAAAAGGTGCCATCTCTCGTGGGGAGATTCTTTACGCAAAACTAAGATTTATTTTTCATATAACATAGTTCCGATTCTGCTTTGTTTTGTAGCTACAGGGTGTTAAAATCTTAATATTTTTTCGATTTATTATAATTTCTTTTTAAGTACTTTTAGCGTTTCGAATGAAATTTTAAGGGTAAAAGTTACTATAAATGAGGCATATTTTAAAGCTAAAGAAGTGTCGACATATTCACCAGAGGCGTACATATGGGTTATCACTTGAATATATTTCTAAAAAAAACATGTAGGTACGCTCTTGTAAGCGAAATGGTGTAAGCAGTTTGTAGCATTTTCATTTTCCAAATGCTACTTTGTTTTATTATAGACGGTTATACAACTTAGTAGTAGTAGTTGGACAGTTAAAAAATAAGATTTATTAAAAGTAATAAATCTTATTTTTTTGGGTATTTGAATTGTTTCATTGGTTGATCCAGTCTCTCAAAATATTTAATAGCTATACTAATTTTAGTTTCTATTCAATTAATACACTTGTACAAATTTTCTTATTTCAGTTTGTACTATCCTTTGTAAGTATTAGCATCTTTTTGAAATAAGTGGCGCCCTGTGGTATGTATGCAGTGTAAGATATAGGTGGGTATCATATTTTTAGCCAAGTGCAGAAGCAAAAGCTTGTTCCCACCGCCTCCGATATAAGAGTAGCCGTTCGCAATATTTTGACTTAAATTTTCAATAAAAGGAAAGTTTTTGTCTACCGATTAAAAGTTGTATCTTGATATTTTGTCGATTTCGGTCTCCTTGATGAGATAAATGCAATTTTATTAATTTTGCCTTGATCCGAGTCTAATAACAAGTCTCCCCACGAGAGATAGCAGATGTTTTTTGAAGACCCTATCTTAAAAGTAGGTATCAAAATGAATTTTGCAAAACTAAAGTAATGTACCTACATACAACGAACTAGTAGACAGAAAGGACATTCTAATAAATAAAACAACATTGGAAATAGTAGATGAATATAATATATTTGGGACAACTAATATACAGCTCGGGATCTCTACTACCAGAAATCAACAGAAGAATTAAGTTAGCATGGAGTACTAACGTAAGAAACTCAATCATATTAAAATCTAGAATGGCACTTTATCTAAAGAAGAAAACATTAGACCAGTGTGTTCTACCAGTCATGATCTATGCATGCAAAACCTGGACACTTAAAACGGACATTTTAAGAGACCTACAGGTCGCACAACGCTCAATGGAACGAAATTACGCTGGAAATAACCAAGAAAGACCGCAAAAGAATAGAGTGGATACGATAAAAGACGCCCAAGTAGCATGTATCTGACTTCGAACTAAATCTGACCTGAAGCGACGTCAGACTTTGTTCAAATTTAGGTCGGTTGCTGGTGATACGACCGGTGACGTCGCTTTCCTATTAAAAGCGACGTCGTTGAATCCGAGTCGGTAAATCCAACGATCTGTCGACGTACAAAATAACAACGTACCATTTTTATTACTTTCCCAACGTCGTTCCCACATTGGCTTGCACGACGTACATATACTTGAACTAGCCCGACGTCTACCCGTTGTCCGAATAGGATACGTCTCACTGATAATCCCTAAAGTAACGCCCAATTATATTTTATTGTATTTTATGTTCATATTTATAACCTAATTTATGTATCTCTAATGTATCTCTATTTACGTCAGTAAATACAACCCATTAAGTAGCATTTGCGACCTAATGAACATCATGAACATAACCTAATAAAAAGTTTTTGTAAACAAACTTAATTTTTTATTATGCCTAAAATACTAAAAAAGCATTTAGACATTCATCTACATTTTACAGAAAGAGGTCGAGGCTTTTGCAAAATAATAATTGTAGTAGTGATGTCTTGCCTCCACTCCGCAACCCATAAATGCTTTTTATCCGGTAGAGATGCTGCATTACACTGGTGCATGTTAATTTCATTTTTTAGCTTAGGAAACCAGCAGACCCCATCCTCCTCCCACATGTGAGGTTAGGCTTAAAAAAGTGGCTGCCCATGTTTTTTAAGGAGAAAACAAAAACTAAAATATAGTTGCACAAATCCACAAATCACTGATACGCAAAGTGAGGTTACGTGGCGTACGTTGGAATTATATACGTCATAATACGATTGCCGGTCGTCTAGTTTGATGACTTCGGTCGTGTGAGACGACTAATGTTGGAAACCCGGTCGGAATTGGTATTTTGGTAGTTTATATTAAGTCGGACACAGAAATCCGCCATTCTTAACAAGTATCCGATTGTCAGCCATTTTATAATCGTTTTTTGTTTTTAAAATTTACATTCACATTTCGATTTCTAGTAGAATAATATTGATAAGGTTGAGTTTGGGGGGAACCACAGTACAGTTTTATCATTAAACCAGCTAGAAAATTAAAAAAATGTTTTGCAAGTTACTTTTTTATAAGACATTTTTATTTCATAAATCTACCTAATTTTGAAGGCGCTCGTTGTTTTCCGGAGTATTTTGATCAGATATATCAAAAAAGTGACTTCCGTTGACAAAACTGATGTCTGGATTAATAATTCAGAATTATTATAATATGAAATTAGATAGGCACTTATAGTTATATTCGAGGAGTGATTATGAATCCATTTGTAATTAGGTAGTTTGGTTAGGTTTTTATGTATTCTTGGTAGCGAATATGAAACCAAACGTAACGTAAGTGCTTAGCGACGAATTTTG